GCCCAGTCCTCCAGTCTGTCCAGGTCCCTCTGGATGGCAGCACAGCCCTCAGGGCTATCAGCTACTCCACCCAGTTTGGTATCATCGGCAAACCTGCTGAGGGAGCACTCCAGCCCTTCATCCAGGTCGTTAATGAATATCACGTAGAAGTACCTATAAAATATCACTCATCTCTGTTAAGAAAGAAACTGATTCATGTCCTGTTCCAGGTTCCACCCATCGGACTTCACAGGGATGTTTCGAAACTCCTTTCCCATTCAGGGATTTGAAGACCTTGTATTCCCGTAGGATTGGCTGATAAGACCAAACTAAACCTCACCTGAACACTAGGCATCCTTTGATTACGTTTGATAAACTATGTGTTTGAATTTCAAAATCTTATTGCAGGCAGGAGTCTAACATTTCTTTCCTGTAACAAAAAGCCAATATATTCTGGTCCAAGAATTAATACCTGGAATATCTGTTTAAAACCCCATGTTTTACAACTGGGAATCATCAAAGCTGAGATTAGTTAGTTACTTGTCTTTTAACGATTTAATGATTTTCTTGTCTTTTTCAAATTTCTTACTAGACATATTGTGCATATCCAATCAAACAGTAAAAGGAATGCAAATGCATGACACCCACATAATTACTTTTACAAGCTTGGTTGATAATACTGGTAGTACTAAAGAGGAACAGCAAATTAGCCAGATCTATTCACCATTAAAATACACTGATAACCATTCTTTACACTTCTTTAATCCTTTAAGAACAAAAAGTCTTATATAATTATTAATATTACTTATTAATTATTATAAATAATATAATAATTAATAATAAGCTAATAATAATAATAATAAAAGAATCATTATACTACAGGTTTCGGGAAGTTCCCCAGTGTTTTGAAAATCATTATTAATAGTGCAAAGGGCTAGAATCCTTCTACCTGACCAAATTTCTAATACTTGCAATTCTATCCTCTGTCTGGCATGATGAAAGTCTTCTACAAACAGAAAATCTTTTTAGTTAGCATAGTGTTGTCTACAAGGTTTTGGTTAATCACACAAAATACAAAACACATTTCTCAGGTTGATGTCTTCCAAGGCGATGTAGCATTTTTGCCTATATATATGTATATATGTATATATGTATATATGTATATATGTATATATGTATATATGTATATATGTATATATATGTGTATGTATATATACACACTAGAATATACATATACACACACCAGAAAAAAAATACAGGATGAAACAATACTGCATGTGCAGCCAACTTATTTTATCCTTATTTTTTGTCCGTGTTTTAAACTTCATTTACATCAAAAGAATCTGAGGGCAAAAGCCATGTGAGGGAAGATCACACATTGTCCGTGTTCCTTTGTAACGAAATACACTGTGCAACACCATGAACAATGCAATTCCCAAAGCTAAGCATTATTCTGGAAGATATTCATGTTTAAATGCTAAAGGAAAAGTACATAGAGAGAAACAAGAGTAGCACTTTTCAACATTAAAAGCAGGTCCCCACYTTCTAACTTAGGAAAAGGATGGTCATCTGTTTTGTCTTTTTTCTTGCTTTGCTGTCTGTGAAGATATACTGAAAGTGTCCTGCTATAAAATGGTGCTCTAATGAAGATTGTTCTTTGAGACTAGCTGGTATTGCCAGTTTTATGCACGGAGTAGTTTAGGCCAAGCCTTAGAAATCAAGAACATATGTTTTTTTAAACTGGTGATTAAAAATGGCCAGTTGCAACTTTGTGCAGATTACACAGACTTGATCCTACTTTATCACAAGCACTTCTGTCAGCTCCTAAATGCTCTGGGGCAGCCACATTCTGATGGCTGCCCTCAGTTTTAACAACGGTACTGCAGCGATCGAGAGGGCACGAGTGTAGAGAAGAAAAGCACGGAGTAATTATTGAACCGGTTGCGAATCGTGCCCCAACTCCTCTCTCTCTCCCCCTTGCCCTCTGTGTGTGCGTGCACATATACACATTCACACACAGGTCAATACACAGCATGCCCAGCAAGCACGCTATGCTTCGTGCAGGGCGAAAGGGCTTTCATGGGCAAACAGGGAGTTAATTATTGCTCAGCAGTAAACGCGTGCTTCTGAATGCAGGTAAAAGACAGAGGGGGCACTTACCAAATCTACTGGGCATAACTCAGAACAGAAGCCATCAAGTAAGCACCATCACTTCTGCAAGAACACACTCAAGCCAAGAAAGATGGATTTGTGAAATGGCTCCTTTTACAAGTTTTAAACAGATGTATTGCATTAAAAAACACACAATGAGGCAAAAACCGCAGGTGGCAGAGAAACTCAGAAGCTTTCTTTCGGCTAACAACCCACTCAACTTATGCAGACATTCTATTTGATGGCAGCATATGTACGAATGTACTGTGAATGTGCGGGTATACGTGCTACTTCAAGACAGTAAGAAGGAAGAATTGCAACATTTGAAACTGAAGACAGATCATCATACTGATTGAAGCCTATATACATTCAAGTTTTCTAAATACATTCTTTCTTAGGAGAAAAACAAGAGTCCTTGATCAGAGTGGACTGTTTCAGGGAAAGAAAGAAAATAATTTTGCAAATATTGCAAAAAACAGCTTAAATGATTTAAAGAGTTTATTCAATACCACAGGCTTTTGATCTGAAAGGTTGTTTAGTTTAAGGAAGAAAAGAGGGAAGGTTAAGTCAACTTCCTTTCTTTAAAAACTGCATCGAAAACATTTCACTCAATTTTGGGTTGTCTCAAACAAGCCTTTTTTGCTTTCTCATTTTTTGCCTGAGAGAAATCACTACAGCTCCACATGCAATTTTGTTCCTGTTCTACATCATACTCACATTTTCTGTATCCCATTTTGACTTTAACACCAAGAGAATCCTTGGTTTGCCCAGGCTTATATGACATGCTAAATACAGAGGTGTTGCTGTGACTAACTACCCTCATAAGAAGTCACTCTAACAACAGATTTAATGAGGCAGTCTTTCTGCAGAAAATTAAAACAGTAATATCATCAGTGTCCACAATATCTCCATATAACACCCTTGTGGGGGCTGAGAATATAGATTATGAAAAAAGTGAGCCTCTTATCAATTAATTGGATGCATATATGCATACAACAGCTATAATATTTCATGAGTGAATTCACTTTTTCTTCTTTCATATAATTCCAGAACTCAACACCCTTAAGAAGAAAACAGTAGGGCAATTCTTATTCAGTTACTAGCAAATAAGATTATTTTCAGATAAAGAAATGAAATGAACCAGTTATAAATCTATTAAGACATTAAGTCACATTTTTGCCTAGGGAGCTTCCAACACCCACGCAAAAATCAAGGCATTTGAGTTCATTGGATCACATCGCTCATTGGCAAGCAGTTAAACAAGCTCTGCTCTTCCACACATAAAAGGGTGACCTTTGTCAGAAGGACAAAGTGAAGTTTCCCTCATTCTTTAACAGGGCTTACCATTGGACTCGATGATCTTAAAGGTCTTTTCTAACCCTTATGATTCTATGATTATTTCCATCCTTCGTTATTTACAATTAAGGCACAGAATAGAGTTTCAGAGTCTAAATACAGAAACAATCCAGTTACTGCTTTGTAACTTTTGGTTCCTGTATTTACTTTTCATTGGAAATGTGAGGGTTTCTTAATACATTTTTGAAGCTTTTTATATAAACTGAGAGATAGTTTGGCAGTACAGCTTGCGATGGTCATTTTAATCTTTTAAGACTATCTTTTTAATCTTCAAGACTATCTTTTTCACATCCTAACACCTTCCTTATGGTAAACTTTGGATGCAGATTCAGCAGAATCAAAATTTCACACCGGTCTTCACTGCAGCACCTATAAACTAAATTGTTCTCAGAAAAATTTAAGATCAAGGGAGAGCTATTTAGAAGGCAAAGATGGACAGTAGGAAAGAAGCTCCAGCAAAGCAGGACTCCAGGAGCCTTGCTGAAGTTGAGGCACAATTCAGACAATTAATGAGAAGATAGGATTTGCTAGAAGCTCTAACTGAGGTTGCTATGCTTGCTTATGTTTATGGCAGCTCCTGCAGCTGCAACCTTCATTCTACCAGGAATTTTTAATACTAACCTCAGGCAAGAAAAGGATGCATTTATACACTGCAGCTGCACGCAGGTGAACTTTGTCAGGTAAGGTACAACCAAACACATATCTACCATGCAGAGCAACACGCTCTGGTCATGAGCACACACTCATTTTCACGTGCCAGTCACGTTTTGTGATGTCTATGGCAAACACAAGACATTAAACACCAGCTGACGTTGCTGGTGGAGCTGATGGAAACTAATTCTGCTGCCCCTTTTTTCCAGTGATAGGGTCAGAGAACAAGTTAGAAATATATAATCACGTCAGTTACTTCCATCAGTAAACTAACAAAGATGAATGTGATATTTGCTGTATGCCATATATGGGAGGCCAATGAAAGACCTTCCTGATCAAGAAATACCAGTGAAATTCACCTTTCTCAAGGAGAGGGATAGACTGTTTTTAGGGAAGAGGCTTCAAAAAAATTCCAACAGAACAGAGAAGGAAAAAAAAAAGTATTAATGCTGGTTATTTTAAGACTCCCCCTTTTCCCTCACCCATTTGCTGGGTGGAGGGCAGCTACTTCCTTCCTGTACTTCAAAGAAGGACAAAATGTGTTTGAAAATGTGTCTGATAGGAAAAAATTTTTGCATGACTCAGTGGGTGTAGTTAAGTTTTAAAAGGTTTCAACTAGCTTTACTCCTTACTTAGGCAAGCATTGCCTATGATATTATCCGAAAGAGGGAAGGCAAAAGGGGTATCATAAGAAGGCAGCTCTAGGTGTAGTAGATGAAACTTGATTGAAAACACGTAAGAAAGAACACAGGATGGTGGACAGCCAACACAGGGACCAGTGGTGTCAATTTTTCTATCCAAAAGGTTAGATGGTCCTACATACCTGATACCACATGCTACCTTTTGGAAGGCAAGTTGGATGTCTGGGAGGCAAAGATGCTGCCCTGAAAGCTGAGCAGAATTCCTTAAGTGACTGTAATAGGGTAGTAAATCAAAAATTGGTCAAAAATTGATTTTATTGATGGAAAATGGTTTTATTTTAGAGTGTGTTCATGTGGGAAAGGTTCTCAGAAAAAAAAAAAAAAAAGCTAAGCTTCAGATTCACCTGCAATATCTAAGCACATAACATTACCTAAACACAGAAACAGTGCTATAAAATTATCAATTAAGGTAGCTGAAGCAGAGACTAGTGATCATGATTGAACCCAGTTTTATCATGACAGTCTTCTCTCCCACTGAACCTGCAATTGTGTCAGAAGACTCTTCTTACTTTTACTGTAAGTTGAGCGTGCTCCGTACTAGTATCCCTTCTTTGTTTAGTCATCTCAAAATACTGCAGATTTACACTTAGGCTTGGGCAAGATCTTTCAAAGACTGGTAGCTACAGTTAGTTTAGTTTAACAATGAGGTGAGTTCTCATAACTGAATTATCAATTCTTTTCTCTGAGCTCTCAATGTTGTTTTCCAGTTATTGGCAAGCTGTTCTTAACTAGGAAAAAAAGTAACTCACACCAATTTAAAATATGGTGGGGGAATTAAAACAATAATAAAATAAATCATATTTTCAGGAATCATCTTAGTAACGAATATAAAGCTACATTCTGATAACAAGAAGTGATAGTCTTTCGTTGAAAGGAAGCTGAAAATGATTGAGGAAAAACTCCACTTCTTAATACGGCATGTGTATAGGAATGAAAGTGATTTATTTACTACACACAAAGATTTTTATTAAAAGGCTGGTAATGGAACAGTTTATTTTAATGCATCGACTTGATAAAAGGTTAGAATTACAGAAATCGTGTATAATGAGGAATAAGTCACATGTATGGATTATTTAAAAAAAGGATTTGATGAGTAGAAGCAAACATCTCATTCTAGTTACATTGTAAAGTGCCTTGTGTAGTCATATTCTATTGTTGGAATGACCGCTTGTACAAATTTTAAGAAAATAAGGAGATACCTGAGTTTCTAGTTAAGGAAAAGAGACAATAACTAGAAATTTCATTAAAAAATAATTAACAAAAAAAAACTCACACCACCCATCATATCCAAATGGCCTGTTCACCAATATTTCCTACTGACAGTAAATTAAAACTTAGTTTAGAGACTTGAGAATTAAGACAACAGAATTATGGTAATGATATCTGATGCTTGCCCAAACTCTTGAAACTTACTGTTTTAAGTTAACTGCAGCTGAATTTCCCTGCTTTATGCAAGGACTTCCAGTACACTTCAATACTTACACCTCCACTGTGCACAAGGAATATTTTGCACTGATGAACAAAACGTAGTATTTTGCCAAGGCAAATTTGCAGCTCGCTAGGCTAATTGCTCCAGCTACCTTTCTGGAGCTGCAGGGCAAGCCAGGCTCCTCAAGCTGTTTCAGAGGCTCAGAAAAAGCAACAAGCTGCTATTCTGAACCATCCTTTGGTTCCTTTGAATCATCCTTTGAATCATCCCTGTTGATGAGGGAAAATAGAGTGATTAGCTTTACTGAGCTGAGCAGTCTGCCTTTGTGAGGGAGACCTTCCCAGTCCTGCTTTCTGCAAGTCACTTTGGAAAACTCACTTGGCCTGAAGCTGCAGTAATAAAATGCCCACTTGAAACTACAGCAGACAGCCAACTCAAAAAATAATTCGGTTATATCAGTAAGGGATAGATGCAAAGCCTACCATTTTGGCCTATCAGTCTTATAGACTCAGCAAACTCATACTGGATAATATTGAGCTTAAGAATTGCCTGTAAGCAAACTGAGATTTAACAGCTGAAAAAAAAAAAAAAAAAAAAAGGTCGAGATCTTGTAAATAAACTATTTCTAACTACTGAAAAATGGATTATAAGAACTACTGAGAAAATTTACTTTTCAATTCAGCCTCATTTGCTTACAACATAATTTGAGCAAGTCTGAACTTGCAGAGTGAACAAGAATCTTCCTGATTCAAGTGCTCAGCAACTCCCCATCCAACCCCCATTCAGCTTTCTAGGAGCAAAAGCTGCTAGATCACTATGAATAGACCTGCTTGCTCCTACCTTGGGGGTTACTTCAGTCAGAAAGCACTGCAGCAATTATTACAATTTAAGAAGAGTCACCTCACTAAAAGAAAACTCTAATTGCAAGGCATTGCTGATTGCGTTTTAGTCATTTTCAATGCTTTTCTGTTACCTGAATGTTTCATGAATAAGCTCTTTCAAACACTGCCCATTTGCAGATTACAAAATAACAAGACCTCCACTCCTTTCAGAAGCTGTGTATCAGATTTCAATCTATTATAGTAGAAATAGTGTCTTAAACCTCAATACTTTCCCCTATGGCTCCTGCTGCCTCTTTTCACCTTCCAGACAACTGATTAGCTGAGTCTTTTGCAGAAAGGTGTTCATCCCACCACTATGGTAAGTACTGCCCCAGCTGACTACTTTCATAGCACTGCATTCTGGTTTAGGAAACCCGAGGCACAGATTTGCACCTTAAATTGCAGCAAATAAAATACCGTGCAGTCAACAAAAAGGATACATGTGAACTCCAAGTTCTCCTCCACCTTCTGCAACAGTCTCAATTATTTTCTTCATCACTTCTGCATGTCTGAAAAAMAAAAACAAAAACAAAAAAAAACAGGAATAGTTAAGGTATTTAAAAGAAAAGCAACAACTTCATCTCTATAAGATCAGGTTTTGTGCTAATTAAATAGTTTGGGGTGATTAACTTTAACAGCAGCAAGAAGAGACTTTACTTTTTACTAAGTTCACTAGGAAAATAGCCCCCCAAATAACTGATAATTATTACTAAGCAATGAATGCCACATGTTATCTGTCAGACGGTTGCCTCTGCAAGGAAACAGAAAGATGCTCTATTCTACAATCTAGACAGACTACTACAGTGAGAGAAAGAACATTTTGCTTGTCACTAGTATAATTTGTTAAATTCCTTTGAAAAAGCCTCCAGCTAAATCTCCTGAAGCTAATTCCTTCTCATCAGCATCAGGCCAGCAGAACTTCCCAGCTGATCCCTGAAGAGGATGCCTGGGAACTGTTGCAACTCTGCTAATTTCTCTAATTACTCTCCTCTCCACACTCCTAAATCTGCAGAATTTAAGAAACAGCGAACACTTCTGTTGTTCATATTGAGTTTCCTAGGAAAGTTACAGCTAAACTAACCCTGTATGGACTCAGTACTGCTTTTCTGGACCTGATTCATGATACGGAAACCTTCTGGTGCCACAGTTATAACTTCTATGAATTTAATAGTCCAGAAGTAATCGTTTTGCTTTCAGGGTAGCTCTTATACCCTTATACGAGTCATGAGATGAAAAGCACATCAAGTCAGAGGAGAGAACCACTGTATGGCCAAGTTGTTTAAAACAAATAAACAACAACAACAACCACAAAAAAATATCTCCAAGGTATGTAATTGTTCTTTACCTTTTATCTACAACTTTTCTAATTAAATTCCTGATTCTGTATGCAATCTTGACTCAGTAAGGTCAAGCAGAGCTATGGACTCACACTAACGCACCACTGCGAATTGTTTGACAATATTCGTTCAAAATACTAATCTTGAAATAACCAAAGTGCTTACTAGGAGCAAGGAAGACTGTTGAACATGTAATTCAGTGAACGTGCTTTGATACTTTTGATGCAAACCTAAATAGATGACTAATAACTGGCATTTAAAAATTTACGCCCTAAGCTCATCATGCTGACTAGGAACAGAAGGAAGGAAGCTGTTGCGAAGTCTCCAGAAACCCACTGCAAACAGGAACATGCAAGTCTGGAGAAACACCAAAGCTCAGCATTTCTCGTTTGCTGCACTGTTCTTCCTCACAAACCAGGTTTCACAGCTGATTCCAATTCCACCAGCTCCTCACGATGTCTCTGCTAGGGACACTCATCATATCAAGTGCCAGAGGCAGCTGCCTTGACACAGAATCCTGGCCACTACCAAAATCTAAGCTTTGACCTCTTCTGAAGTGATGGGATACCTTTTTGTACTGCCTGCCAGGCAGGTCATCCTGTGACCATTAGAAGTCTTGTATTTTTGTATTGTAGTATTTGTAGTTTTGTATTTGTAGTTTTGTATTGCCTGACAGGCAGGTCATCCTGTGACCATTAGAAGTCTTTCACAGAACCTTGGTTCAGTACAGTAAGTCTTACCAACACCTCAATGACATTCATTTTTGCCATCTTTCAAAGGACAGATTTCTAACCTGCACCAGCCACCATGACAGTCATTTCTGCAGTCGTCCAGTTCCATATTAGAAGCTTCTGAAGTGTTTTATAACCTCTCAAAAGTTTGTTTCCCGTTTTCAGTTTCCTTCTCTAAGAAAATTTTGATGAATTAACATGAAGCACACATATTCCCTCTCCCCCCCAAAAATTCAAAGAAATAAATTACATTTCTCCCAACGTTATCTTAAGGAGTGAGCTATCCAGAAACAGATTACTTCTGATTAAGACTTCACTCATGATTGAAAGAAAGAAAAGAACAATCCTATCATAGCCCCAGGTCGTCTTTACTCAAGATAACTGCAAATATTACATGCTCACCAAAGCTTGATTCAGAACTTGCTGAGCTATCAAATCAATCAGGTATTTGAAACATTTACTAAATCTACTGCACTTTCTGGTGTATCAACTGACTATTGAGGTAAAGTAATACAAGGAGCTATTGATGCTTTAAGCCAGCCAGATACTGCTGTTCCTACTGAAAGGAAGCCCATCTTTTGAAAGATTAAATGTCCCGTTATGCACACATTGAGGGTGTTCCCGTTCTACTTGGATAGTGACCCAAGCCTTCAGTCAAAGGATTTTTTTTTCAGTCAGAAGAAATGTCAAAACTTCACACTGGAATTCAGCACAGCTGTCAAAATAACACTATCTGTGTTTCAGCTGGAGGAAAAATACATATTTTCAGAAAGTAAATGTCAAAAATAAGAGCCCTCCTGCCATACAAAACAAAAGAAAAACAAGTGACTGCTGCCACCTCCCTGCTGCCATCTCAGTTCACAGAGAAAAAGAAAAGACTTCCACGGGGCTTTCAGCGCAGTGGACTGCTATTAAGGCTGTACAACAAAAAGCAGGATTCAACACTTCTTAGTGCAGGGCACTTAAGTGAAATTTTAGTTATACATTTGGGACAGTGTCTATAACTGTTCAAACGAGACAGGTGTGTAGAAAAAAAGGTCAGTCATCTTTAAGTGAAGCTTTCTGAATCTGCAAGGATCTTCAGTTAACCTTAAGATGTATGATTTGGTGGTCCGTGCAGTTGTTTCAACCCACCTCCTTGCAGGCACTCAGAGTACATACACAGGAAGGAAAGAACTAAGACCCTAAAAGCCTATTGCCAACTATTCCAAGAGAGATGAAAATAAACTCTTGGAATTAACATAAGGAACTTGTGCAGATGTGTTTAGTGGTTAACCAGATGGATATTTCATTTGTAGCCCCCTAAAAGCTTTCATTAATTCGGTTTGCAGCCGATTAATGTAGGAAGTTGAGTAAGTTCCTCCCACTATCATAAGAAATAAAGATAAAAATGCTGACAAGAAATACGACTTCCACCAGGGCTGCCAAATGAAGAACTGCAAGTGACTACTCAAAATACAAGCAATCTCAAGAAGGTGAGMGTAAAATTCCTCCATTTCAAAGCCCGTCATTGACACAGGCTATGAGGACATACGACACAGCCAGCCAAGTGAGTTTAGCATCATCTAAATATCCCGTATTACACAATCACTGTAACGTGCAGCAAAGCAACAGCAGCAGAGCTAGCTACACATTGCAATTACAGACCTTCACAGTTGGAAACTTGACCAAATTAAGGAATGGAATAGCTCGGTTTAGGGAAGAAAAGAACATATTTAATGCTTCAAGATTCAAGGAGTGTGAGACAATTCATTTAATCAAGGATTTTACAACACTGGCACCCAACTACCAACCAGAGCTGTCATACCCACTTGTCTTGGAAATTTGCATCTATGAATAGTAATTTCTTCCCAACAAATTCATTAGTAGGGCTTCCATGAGCTCTAAATCAAGCCACAGCTTCACACTTTTCTTCCTCCTCTGCTCTGATTAATCATCTTCCAGTCAGTCTCTTTCGCTTCCCCTCATCACACTCAGCTCACCTGTTACTCCCTCAGAAACACCAATCACATTAAGAGATTCATTTATTTTTGTGAAACAGAAAAAAATTTTTGTGAACAACAGAAAAATAAGATAAAGGTCACTAGCAGGGCAGCATATTAAAACTGACGCATTCATAAAATACAAGAACGTAGTCATTGCATCAAACCAGGAACCTGTCTATACTTGCTTCTTGTCCGTCAAGAACAAGGAGGCCGCCAGAGGAAGCATCTAGCAGCACTTACGTCAAGCATTTCAGCAGTAGGTTGCCTAAGGACTTTCTAGTCAGAAACAGTAACTTCATTCTTAAATACCTTGATAGATTGTTCCCCTCATTGGGCTCATAGTGCCTTCTGAATCACAAAGTCACAGACCAGTTGGGAAGGTTAGAAAGGGCCTCCGGAGACCACCTAGTCCAACCCCTCAGCTCAAGCAGGGTCACCTAAGTTTTCCACATTCGAATAAAGCTTCCCAGATTTCAGTTCATGCCTTTTGCAACTCACCCTTTCACTGGCTGCTGCTGAATAGTCTGACCCCAACTTCTTTACACCCTCCTTTCACATATTTAGATGCATTGGTAAGATCTCCCCCTAAGTAATCTCTTCTCCAGACTGAACAGTCTGAGTTTTCTCAGCCTTTCTACATACGAGAGGTACTCCACTCCCTTAATCATCTTCACAGTCCTTTATTGGACTTGCTCCAGTAGTTCCAACTCTGTCGTGTGCTGGGAAACGCAGAGTGGACAGTGCTCGAGGCTGAGTAGAGGGGTAGGATCACCTCCCTCCGTTTGTTGGCAACGCTCTTCCCAATGTGGCCCAGGATCCCAATGGCCTCGTCGGCCACGAGGGTGCATTGCTGGCTCATGGTCAACTTGTCCATTGGGACACCCAGGTCCCTCTCTGCAGAGCTGCCCTCCAGCAGGTCAGCTCCCAGCCTGTACTGGTGCCTGGGGTTATTCCTCCCCAGGGGCAGGACCCTGCACTTGTCCTTGTTGAACCTCATGAGGTTCCTCCCTGCCCAACTCTCCAGCCTGGCCAGGAACCTCTGAAAGGCAGCACAGCTCTCTAACCTATCAGCCACGCTTCCCAGTTTTGCATCAGCAAACTTGCTGAGGGTGCTTCTGTCCCTTCATCCAGGTCACTGAGAAATAAATCAAACAAGCCTAGACTCAGCATGACCCCCGAGCGACACTGTCTGCCAGTGACAGCCTCCAAGCAGACTGCGCTACTGAGCACAACCCTCCAAGCAATTCAGCCAGTTCTCAAGCCACTTCACTGTCTGCTTATCTGACCCCTACTTTATTAACTTGCCTAGGAGGATGTTACAGAAAACAATGTCAAAACCCTACTGAGATAAATTAAAATTTAATTAAGTGTTGTGCACAGAGTTCACTCTTTTTATTTGCTTTGAACATGGCAGCTGTAAGTTGCATTCAATGGCATTGGTTTTGCTATTGGGAAAGACTGAACACCTGTTAGTTTCTCACCCACCTTTGCTGGCAGGATAGAGGGGACCGCCACGTGGCTTCCAAGCTGAAGGGTACGAGGTTATTTAGTTGTAGCTTACTCGAAAACAACCTCATGCCTTTCAGTTACCCTGATCACCCTTTCTTCTCTCTACCTTTTTCCATTTTCAGCCTTCTTTTATCTCAAAGAAGATATACTGGATGACCAGTACCATACTGCAGTATTCAGCATGCAGATGGCTCAAATTTTGAACATTTTCCATACATGAAAGACTACTCAGAGATTTTTTTTTTTTTTAGATAACAGGAACAAAAGCATAAACTCACACCCCCAAGACGTTCCTATTATCACAGCACTGAAGTTGCACTGTTTAAGATGTTAGTTCTGTATCACTAGGGCAGGCTTATACCTACGAGGAAAGGCACCTTCAAAGATCTACAAAAAAAAAAAAGTCTGTGTAGTTAGACTAAACTACAGTCTCTATACCTTCATGAGAAGTGTGGAAAATACAACATAAGAGATCCTTGAAAACATGACTGTTTTGCCCTTATATTGAACAAGTATTTCAGTATAGCTGCATTGACTTCTATTTACCACCATAAAATTACAAGGACTTTGGGGTGAGGAGAGAGGATCAGAAGTCAGTTTTTACAAAACAAGAAACATTTATTTCCTTCATACTCCCAAAGAATACATTATGCTTTTTCCTCTAAAAAGCCACAAACAGCGATAGTATGGGAAAACACTCTTACAGAGAGTTTTGGTAGTCTGCCATCTTCTGGAGCCCATGAGAAAGCAGCAAAGCAAGCAGAGCACAAGCAGAGCTCTAATTGTCTAATAAGCTTCCAGGAGCAGGCACTGCAACCACTTCAGGGAACTACTGCACTCTGTATTCCATCCTCCCCCAAGAGCCAACAGAGCACCCCAAGAGTCCAATGTGGAAAATTATACCAAAAAAACTGAATCCAGTCCTTAACAAGCCCAGAAAAACAACCTGTGTACAYGTGACGAATCAGACCAGAAACTAAAACTTACCTGCATGGATGAACGGAACACATGGGAGGAGGAGGAAGATGAGGGTGGTTTTCAATTGTCACTGTTTTCTTGACGTGATCTTGACTAATATCTTCATACATGTGGTCTACTGTTAGAGGCTGCCGTTGCTAGAAGGAGAAAAGGAATGCAAGAACAGAAGTGTTACTAACAGGATCTTTTACTCCTTCTCAGCAATTCCAACACCACTAACACATGAAATTCCATAAGCCACAATTATCTAACACCCATAGTTTCTAAGGGACACTAGAAGAAAGGACAGCCTCAAAAGTAATAGTGCATAGACAAAGCAGCAATGGAATCCAAGAGACCAGATTTTACTTTCTTTCAAGTTGTGCTAAACTACCTAGTAAAATTTTCAGATTATTTTTTTCCTACTACTCATGAGTTCTGTAATTCCTGGCTGCAACCCTGATCACATACTGACTTTCTCACTATTTATTCCCTTTAACTTGAACTGTGTGAACTGTGTAACAAAAGAATAGCTGAAGCGCTGAGTCTTATCTCAAAACAAGCAAACAAACAAAAAATATAAGTATACCTCATCATATCCAAATAACCAGAGTCTTGGAGTTTGATAGTATTTGTCATAAGTGATGTAGAGATCGTAAGTCCTAGTCTGTAGAATAGCATCTTCCCCTCCAACATCAACTTTAGCTTTGTTGGCTTCTACAATCTGTCTTGTGTCAAGTGTCGCCTGGTTATCAAGATAAAAAGGATGACATTAGTAAACAAGATAACATACCTAACAGTAGTGGCTTATCCTCTTCTACCATTCTAAACAGGTTTCTAAGGCTGCAAAAACTGAACTTAAYCTTAGGTAAACATTAATAAATGTATTTTTCTTTGAAATAAAAWTTTCCTCACACTCCTTTTTTAAATAAGGCATGCAATTATACCACCATATCCTCCTCCCCACTTTCTCAGTAACTTTCAAGTGTAGGCAATTCCAATTAAGAAGGTGGAGGTCTCAGTTTATTCAGCTTATACACCAGGAGAGTGCTCCAAATTAGGGATGCCCTCTCCTGTCCCTTCTGACAGTCTGAAGCATTAGTGTAATCTACTGAACCCATAAGTCAGTCAGTCACCACACTGGGGCTTTTAAGAACAGCCACTGCACTTGGTATCTCCCGTTAACTGTATGGAAGCAAAGCGGAAATGGTCAGCGGAGAATGCAAAAAATCAGCAATGAAAATCTGTGATGACTTTGATAACAGCTAAGATTGTTGTTGTAGATATGCAAAAGCAATCTACAAAAATCCAGGCTCAGTCCCATGCATAGCAACAGATGAGATATAGAACTGTTCACTCACATCATCTGTCTCCAAGAGCCCACTTTCTTCATATTCTGAAAAGAAGACCCATAAAATTCTGTGTTCAGCTTGTGGCTAGCTGTCATTTCTCATTCAGAAACAATTCCTTAAAAAAAAGATCTACATGTATCTAAAGACATTTTATTGGTGCAAATTTCCCCAACCCCAAACCAGACAATACACTTTTCTTAATGCAAGTTTTGCCCAGACTAAATGCACAATGAGCAAGCCTTAAAGAAAAGGTTTTTAACAGACAAATTTCAGTTTAAATCTAGCTAAAAAGCAGGAATGAATCTGTATTAAATCCCTGATTTTAGCTTATGTGGATCTGTTTTCTACTCTTTTCCAGTCATTAGAATTCATGCAGCATTATTCACAAGTTAGAAATCATACCTCACTAAGTTCATATAAAAGAAGGCAAGAGCAAGTGTCTCTTGTGACTTTTAGCAGGAATCCCATAAAAAGGAATAGTAGTATTTTCTTAAAGCATGCTGCCTTAGTTACAGGCCTGCAAAAGTACATCCCATCCAAGCTAACAGAAAATACCTTCCATGTCTGCAGCTTCCCCTTCATCATCATCATCATCATCATCATCCTCACAGGATGTTGAACGTTCTGGTATTTTTATATTATCCTTTTGAAGTTAAATTGGAAACACCATTTTAAAGATGACTATGTTTAAGACATATCCATAAAGCTTAACAGCACCAGCAGATTTATAGAGTAATTAAAAGTTCAGACAAGATAAGCTATTAAAAAAAAACTCACAAAACAGCTTGATGAGGACTATACTGAACACACAGACATTTATAATTTTCAAACTTGGTTTAAAAATACTACACTAAAATCCATTAAGTTATCCTTTGATTTTAGAAAGAATAAATATGAAATTAAACAGCCCATAATTTAAAAGATAACAAGCAGCCTACCTATCTCAAATCATACAATCATTTAGTAAGAATTTCCACCAAAGAATATAATTTTAGCATCATATGAACCTGTTTAATCAGGTTCTGTATTTGCATTTATAGCTATAATTGAGCGTGAAGTTTAAGATTTGGTGTGATACAACCTACAGCCAATTGAGCAAATATTTTGTAACTGTTATTGAAACACGTAAGAGTGCCAAGAGACATCATTAGTTCAAGCTATCATTTCTTTAATTGTAAACATTTAGTGGCCAGGTTCCTTGATGGAAAAAAAAAAAACAGTAAGAAACTAAGTTGTGAAGCCCATTGGTATATAGCACAAATAGAAAAACAAAGGTTTGTCATCCTGGATTGGACTTGTGGTCCAAAAGGTGATGTTAAACAACAAAATGGTTTTCTACATACATCAGAAGTCAAACCCACTTTGCAGCACGCATGAACAGTTAAGCATTATTGTACACTGTGGAAGTGCTGTGCTTTGTTGAAACAGATGATCTTGAATGGTGTGCAGAACGTATTAACCTTTCACAAACAACACTGAACTGCTGCAGGTAAAACTTCTATTGCCTTTGGGTCCTGTTATAAAGCAAGAGAAAGTTTACAAATACCTTACTGTCTAGTGTGATCTCCTTGATTGCTTCTGTTGCACCCACTATACCTGTTAATGGAGCAAGAAGACTATTATAAGTTTGTATTAAATATATTTGTTTCTTTGTTATAGAATACTACCATAAGAGCCCCAGAGGTCTCAGAGACATCATATATATATATATATACATAATCTTTCCAGTTACACCTTCCAACAGTTTTAGAAAAGGAAAAGCACAAGCAGACAGTACATGCGACAGCACAGATCACAAAACATATTTTAAATAGGTTTTGTTAACAGAATGCTGAAAAGCAATGTGATTTTTTATCTTACAGAATTTATGTAAATAGTAACTTTGGAATATTGGAGTATTCCCAGTGCTCTAGTCACAGTAATGAAGCTAGTTTCCTAAGTGAGGCACACGTGTGTGAATATCTTTGAAGTTGTTGAACATGCTCATGACAGTGCTGTTTGGCAAAGCACGAAATGGTTGAGGTTGGGAGGGACCTCTGGGATGATCTAGTCCATCCCCTGCTCAAGCAGCATCACCTTCAGCATGTTGCCTAGGATGCTTTCCAGACAGCTTTTCCTTATTTCCAAGGATGTAGACTCTACAATCTCTCTGACCAATTTGTTCCCATGTTCTCCTATCTTTTCAACAAATGAGTTTTCCCATATGTTCACAAGGATCTTGCCATGTTTCAATTGGTGTCCATTGCCTTTTGTATATCCCAGGCCCTAGGGACACACGAAGAGAGCCAGAGAGAGGAAGGCTTGCCCTGGATAGAGGAAGAGTGGGTCAGAGAGCATCTGAGGAGCCTCGACACCCACAAATCCATGGGCCCTGATGGGATGCACCCCAGAGTGTTGCGGGAACTGGCAGATGTCCTAGCCGAGCCGCTCGCCATCATCTTTGGAAGGTCCTGGAGAACGGGGGAGGTGCCGGAGGACTGGAAGGAAGCCAACGTAAGTCTGGTCTTCAAAAAAGGCAAGAAGGAGGACCCGAGTAACTACAGGCCGGTGAGCCTCACCTCCATCCCCGGGAAAGTGATGGAGCAGCACATCCTGGCTGCTCTCTCCAGACACATGGAGCAGAAGAAGGTGCTCAGGAGTAGCCAGCATGGATTCACCAAGGGGAAATCCTGCTTGACTAACCTGATCACCTTCTACGAAGGAATATCTAGCTGGGTAGATGAGGGCAGAGCGGTGGATGTCATCTATCTGGATTTGAGCAAGGCTTTTGACACTGTCCCTCACAGCATCCTCCTGGGCAAGCTCCAAAGGTGTGGGATAGATGTGTGGACGGGGAGGTGGATTAGGAATTGGCTCGATGGCAGGGTGCAGAGAGTGGTTGTCAATGGTGCAGAGTCCAGCTGGAGGCCTGTACTTAGTGGTGTCCCCCAGGGGTCGGTCCTCGGTCCGGTCCTGTTCAACTTATTCATTAATGACCTGGATGAAGGGCTGGAGTGCTCCCTCAGCAAGTTTGCTGATGATACCAAACTGGGTGGAGTAGCTGATAGCCCTGAGGGCTGTGCTGCCATCCAGAGGGACCTGGACAGACTGGAGGACTGGGCGGCGAGAAACCTCATGAGGTTCAACAGGGGCAAGTGCAGGGTCCTGCACTTGGGGAGGAATAACCCTGGACACCAGTACAGATTAGGGGTGGACCTGCTGGAGAGCAGTCCCGCAGAGAGGGACCTGGGTGTCATGGTGGACGACAAGTTGACCATGAGGCAGCAGTGTGCCCTGGTGGCCAAGAAGGCCAACGGGATCCTGGGGTGCATTAAGAAAAGCATCTCCAGCAGGTCGAGGGAAGTGATCATCCCCCTCTACTCAGCCCTGGTGAGGCCACATCTGGAGTACTGTGTCCAGTTCTGGGCTCCCCAGTACGAGAGGGATGTGGATCTGCTGGAGAGAGTCCAGCGCAGGGCTACCAGGATGATCAGGGGCCTGGAAAAAATCTGCCATATGAGCAAAGGCTGAGGGAGCTGGGCCTGTTCAGCCTGGAGAAGAGGAGGCTGAGGGGGGACCTGATCAGCGTGTATAAATACCTCAAGGGAGGCAGGCAGGAGGAGGGGGGCGGCCTCTTTTCAGTGGTGGACAGTGATAGGACTAGAGGAAATGGCTTCAAACTGAAGCATCGGAAGTTCCACAGGAACTTAAGGAAGCATTTCTTCACTGTGAGGGTAACAAAGCACTGGCACAGGTTGCCCAGAGAGGTTGTGGAGTCTCCTTCTTTGGAGATCTTCCAAACCTGCTTGGACGCAGCCCTGTGCCACGTGCTCTAGGTGACCCTGCGTGAGCAGGGGGGTTGGACTCGATGACCTCTGAGGTCCCTTCCAACCTTAGGCATTCTATGATTCTATGATAATAAACTTGTAAATAAAGAACAACCTATTTCAGACTTATACAGGCAATGAGCTAAACACCTGAAGAGCCATACACAAACATGATAGCCGACAGTGTAATATAACTCCTCCACATACACAGACATCTATATGTGAGAAAGATTTTACATCCAAAGCTTAAGTGAGAAAATGTTTTACCTTAACAAAAATCAGAGTCTGAGACAAGACTTTGAATACCTGTATTGTGGAAAGTGTCCACCCAGCCCCCATCACCATCATCTTCTTCTATAATTGCTTCTTGCTCATCTGAATACTCCATCTGTTTACATCTTTTGTAGCACGGCACTGCAAAAGAAGTTCAAAACAAAAAATGACTGTAGCCATTTCTAAACAAAACAGATGGAAGTAAAAATTTATCCTATAAAGTGTTCTGAAATATCATGGTCTTTTATATCCTTATTTAAGTAATACTTGCCTATATTAGCAGCAAGAATTCAATGATCTGATTTGTCGTTCGAATTCTACTATTTTCTATATCAGCTATTTATGCAACAAATTAGATATGTTTAATAAATGTGCTTATCATCTCTAAGTCTGGCAGAGGGTAAAATTAATGTGTTATTTAGAGTAACTTCAGTAATACACATCACAGTGGTATTCAGGTATAGATTTAAACAGTTTTCAAAAAAAATAGTCAAAGAATGAAGATCTGATTTCAGTAAAACAGACATTTTCCATGAGTTTAAACAAGCCAAAAATGCTCCTTTTCTACTAGTCTGGGAAAAACAATCACTGTGCAAACCACAGAATTTGTCAAAAACTTGCAGACCTTTTGCAAAAGAATAAGAGGGTGAGACTCAAGGTGAAAAGTCAACCTCCAGTCTATCACACTTCCAAAATAGAATGTGATCTCCCCACGGCCCAACACTTTTAATCAGGTGATGTAACAGCAGAGATGGCATGGGCTGGAAACACAAATATTGGATAATTTTCTTTTGAAATGCCACCTAGAAGGATCAGAGCAGAGTAGGACCGTGGAAAGAAGAGAAAAGAGAAACTGTGAATTGATCACTTGGCCAGGCAGCCATTGCAACCATTTTAACGTTTGTCCTATTGACCTCTGCACGCGACAGGGCACTGCCGGGCTCCAAAAGCCAGCAAACGAAATTGATCTACGAGAAAACCAATCCTCTGAAGTTAACCTCTTCAGGCTGTTCTTAGTACTGCAGGTACATCTAATGGTGTTCTTGGACGCATTTTGCTGTAAAATTTTTTGAGGGGAAAAAAGAAAAAAAAAAGAAAAAAAAATTCCCATAATCGTGTCTTAGCTTTCTTCTTGTACTATTAAAAGGATAGTCACTACAAGTATTATATATATCTTTGAACCTAATTAAAATTTTATTTAAAATGACATTGATATCACTATTATTGAACACAACAGTGATATAATAATTTCATATCTTAAGCAGAATTGGAAGTACCAACATTGCAAAGAAAGGCATTTTGGAAACTCTTCAACAATCCAGGTGTTCCAAGAGAAGAGCGAAATCAAGTGCCCTTTTTTCTTGTTACAGTGTGAACACAAGTTGAAGGACTGGACAAGGAGGAGGGAGACAAGACTTATGACGTTTAAGCTTAATTTCTGCCTCAGCAAGGCAARCTGTATTACTAGTATAAACCCTCACTAACAACTGGTCTAAGAAAAAGACTTTAGATGTGCAGGCAGGAGCTTAAACATTTTTTAATATTACAAAGCTAAAACATCTGAAGTGCAAGATACCTGCTTCCCCTGTCAAAACAATCAGTAGATTTGATAGCACAAGCAACCACGTTATCAAGTCCAAGAAAAATTTTATGTAAACTTCAGCCTTACCATTTTTAGTTACCAAAAACTGTTTGTCTGTTGGCAGATAAGCCTTGACTTTTAGTTCTTCTCCTGAAGCCCTGCAAAACGAAGTGCACCATAAAAGGTTGAGAACTTGATATGTAAACAAAAAACTTTAAAATAGAAGGATTCTTAACAGGGATATCCTATGTACTCCTCTTGACCTATTCCCAGAATTTGCTCTTTTCTACATAAAGGCTTTAATATACAGGTAAGGTGTTCACAAGGTCGATCACCTCTAATCTATGAAGTTTTACAATTAAAATACTCTGCTTTTATACGAATAGGTTGACAGAACATAGCCTTGTCTATAGGAAACTTACCACAACAGGCAATAATATGCCAAGCATTTGTGGAAAGGAACTTTAGAAAAAGCAGGTGATAGATCTCTAGAGATATAAAACCTTGCTCTTGTCAGTAAAGCTTAAGTTTTCTTTGTCAAGCTCACGTTACTCAAGCAATGAATTCACCTTCAGTGATTTCTGGTTTGGAAAGAAAAAAGTCCATTAACACTCTAAATAGCTGGATCCAATCTGCTGGCACACAGGTCTGATTCAGTACCATGTTTTCTCTGGAGGAGACTGCAAAAAGGCAAGAAATGATGATCTGAGGGTAACTCCTTCAACCTTGTATAGCACAGTACCTTGGCAAAGCTAGGAACCTTAATAAGGTGGACTGTGCAGGCCCTGCTCCTTTAGGCACTACCTGATTAGATTTTATAATGAAAGATTCCAATAAAACATTAAAAAAATACTTTATCTGCACCCTTGCTGCACATGAGAAGGGTAAGGGATTTCCAAGGGCAAGTATGGCACAAAGTGATATGATAGGGACCTATCTGATTGACTTTGATTACACATGATTATTTAAAATATACCACTTACAAGTAGTTCTTAGCAGCTCCAGGTGGATGTGCTCTTTTGTTTGCTGAATTAACAATGCTAAGACAAGCACAAGGAGACCCACTGCTACTACGTCTGCTAGTGCAGCTTAGGCATGTAAAGTGTTCACAGAACATAGCAGCTCATATACAGCCTTGGAAAAACAGAAACAACCAAATATYCCAACTACTAATAGCAAGAGCAATAAGACCAGCCTGACTTAATGTTTATATGGCTTCACTGTAATAAACAGTAGAAATTCTACTACAAGAGTCAGCAAGTTATTCTGAAATGAGACAAACCTGCTTTTGCATCCAGGGGAAACCACAGCAAAGCACAGGCACGGATGAAACCTTTACAGCTCTTCTGATTTTACTTACCATTGCCACGTAGGACAGTGGTGAACTAAGTGATCTCCAGCTGCAACGAACTGTTAAGGGCAGAAAGAAAAGACTGCTGTTAGATACAGTATAGCAGAACAKAATCTCAAACTTTAGCAGTACCAGTATTTCAGTTGTACACTCCTTTGATAAATTAACTATGTAAAAAAAAAAAAGTAACTGTTTACATCTGTTTAACACTATTTTCACTTCATTTTTCATCCTTGAGAAATCAGTCTAATCTTTGTGGGTTTATCTTAAGGAAATATTCAGTAAACTTCACAATAGTAAATTCACACAAAAATTCAAAGGCTCTAGTGTTACTTATCAGTCTCTTAATAAGCAAAAAAAAAGAAAAAAAAAGCTTATTAGACAACTGTTTACTTTGTCATGAGGAAAACTGTTTCATTTGCCAATCTTCAAAGTTTAAAAACCCTGAAGAGAGGTTAATGCAAGAAGGATAACAGATGTATTTAAGCTTTTCCTCAAACTAATGAGTATTTCTATATTTTCTTGAAGTTTCAGCTTAGGGGTAAAAAACAAAACAAAATCAAACACACCCAAATACACGTTCAGATCTCCTTCAGTGGTCATAACAATTTTGCAACAAGACAAACAAAAAAAAGTGGAAACTGCACCAATTGTTTGAACTACAAGAGGGGAATAAATAGCATACATTTTAAAGAATAACCATAGCTATGATAGTTTTTCACTGATTTTAATTAGATAGGGAAACTGAAGTGCTGAGTTCATTGAAAACTCATGTGGAACTTATTTTAACAATACAGATTAAACCTCTTCACGCTACTTGTTCTTAGTATTCAAGGTATTTACTGAAATTGTATTACTATCGGAGAGCGGTATTAGAAGAATCATGCTGGACTCAGGCATACTAASATATTCTACTCAGTGAAGTCTATTTTTTCTGCATAAATCGGAAGAAGGCTAATCTGTGTTTAAGAAAATTTTTTTTTCTGTCTTTTTGCATCAGATAGCTTTGAAAGTGAGATTCATACCAACTACTACTGCTGTTGTTTTTGTTTTAAAATGGCACGTTTCCTAGCATTTTAAAATGCCAAAATCTGGAGTCTGATGCAGTCCGAGCTGCATGGAGCAAACTAGTCTTTAAAAACACCTGCACCAGGTGCTTGATTCCCCAGGGGCCCTGCACAGAGGCACGCATTTCAGAATTTAGTTTAGGGTATCACAAATCTACTGGCCACCTCAGTAAAGGTGCAGTCCTCCTGAGGAGGTGCCCTCTAATGCTGCATTCAGCCTTTGGGCAATGCTTTGTCAGAGAGCTGCCTTATYACTGGGTGTCAAAGATGAGTTTTACCTTTTACCTGTCTCTCTCTCTCTTGGCCATAAGCTCCTGCAGTCTGTCCAAAACGTCCCTTAGGAGCCTAAATGTTTTGCTGAATGCCCACCCTGGATGATGGGGTCTTGGGTAAAACCTTGGGAAATCTCAGATTCTCCCTATATCTTCAAGCTGCAATACAGTTTCTGCAAGGTCTAGCTGTCAGAACGGCAGCTTCTAGCTCAACTGTCAAAGATTCCCTCAGTAATCACAGTTGACACCCGCTATAGATTTTTTTTTTTTTTCCTTCATGATTTAGTCATGAGAAAGGAGAAAGGTCTGGTAATGCCAGGTCAACTCCCCAGTTGACTGAGTGGCTGGACAGTGACACCAAAGGTTTGCTGMAAAGAGATGCCAGCCATTTTCTTGCTGTGTTCTCCAAAGCAGGTGGATTGAAACCACAGTTTTAATGGACAGTGGATAAAAGACAGTAGATAAAACSACAACATGCCTTCTATATGGAGTAACAGATTTGATCTCTGCAAAAGTGGTTCCTCTTATCCACTTTCCAGGGAAAGCCTCTGGCAAAAGAGAAATCTTCACTTGAAAGAAGAGAGTAATTTCTCCCACAAGTGTGTGCACGTGTGCACACACACCCTAATTTTAAAAAGCCATTAGTCTTTGAAGAACACTGGTGCTACAGAACTTTACATAATAAAAAGATATATTATCAAGTAATTAGAAGAGTGTTTGTGGCACTGTGATCTTYGGAGGTCTAACAAGTAAGTTTCTAAACAAACCAAATACAAGTTTTATTTGCACTTTCTTCTGTTTGGATGGCCTAAGCTACTCAGTTTCACTTTCTACTTCCCAAGCACTAAAGCTACGGTCCTCAACTGGTACTTCGAAACTGTCAAGAAAACGTTTTTTTTTTTCTCATTTTCTCTCTGCTTTTAGAAAGAATGATTTTAAGAATTGCCTGCCTGTTAAGCATACATGACACTAAAACAAACACTGTTCTGAGGTATTAACTAATGAGGACTCAAATAAAAAAAATCGTTAAAATTAAGTGCACAGATATATCTCAGCCTTCTTTTTATATATCTCAGATAAATTAAAAAAAATTATGCTGAACATGATTAACTAGTCATATTTAGCCTTATTGCTACTGGATTTTTTTTTCATCTTTTGTTTTGCTTTTTGTCTCATCTTTCTTCTATTAATCTTAATATCACATTGTATTTACAGATGCCTAAGAAAGTATTTTCTAAACAGCAGCACTTTAATATGAGAATGGGAAAGCCAAATAGCACTTTAGGTCAGTTTATTATTTTAATTCTAGAAAAAATCCAGTTGTTTTTCCTTCATAGCAAGCTCCTTTACAAACTACTTTGTTTGGCAGCAATTCAAAATACAACCAGCCTAAAGCAGCTTGACAATTGAAAAAAAAATCATTACATGCTTGTTAGGGACAAGCATACATAATGATTCTGCCACAGACTGGGAAAGAATAAAAAGGGAGGTAAGTGAGGACTGTTTCTGAGATGTGAAAGATACAAGTTCTTATACAGACTGTTTATGGGAACTGCTTTTGAAATAAAACACATTTCTGCATTTCTGTTCTAGTCCTTAACAACCGTGACAAACAGCTGTTGATCCAGCATGAGCTTCCTTTACCTGTATTTCAGGCACAGTAAGGTGTGGGGGGAGGAGTGGGAGGAAGAGAGGGGAAGTGAAAATTACTGCTTTAAGAAGCAATAATTAGTTGACAAAGGCACGAACTGCTTGAAAAGAACATGRCTGTTTGGAATAAAAGTATCCATTACTTTCATGTTTTCTAAATATATTTCTAAGATTCCAATTACTTACTTCTTCGGGTGTAATTACTCCAGTTTCTTTAAACTTGGACTCCTATAATAAAGAAAGTTTAGAATTATTAAGCTCTGCTGATAGAAAGTGCCCCGCTTTACTTGTGAAGAAATATATCTGTTCTTTGTTGTAAGAGGTAGGGAATCATGAAGAAACTCTAGAAAAGGAGACCCCTTGCACTCAGTATTGCATTTGCCAGTAAGAGACATGAAATTAGTCGAAAGCAGTCATTTTCAGCCATAGGGGACTGTTCTAAACTGTGAGCAGCAGTACAATGTATCACTGTCATGCTCTGAGGTTAAAGTTAAAAAGTCACAAAATGAATGACTAAACTGCATTCATGGTAGCTGTTTAGAAAGTGACTAGCTTCTCTGTTCCTGTTTCTGTTCCTTCATTACACGGAAACAGTTTTGATTTTCCTCATATCGTCCTGCTTTTCGTGGAGGATAAAATAGTTGACAAGCAGCAAAATGACTTAGTTCTTATATGAAAATATGAAACATTTATCATTAAGACATCTAAAAAGTTTACGGCCAATATTTCTGTACTGTCAAATTTTGAGTGAATTTATTAAGAYTTGTGGAGTCTTTTGTTTTTCTCCTTCAGAAAAGTCTCAAGCACTAAAAAGGCCTTTTCCCCCTCACATGAGAAGTACCAAAGAATAGCTTTTGGACAAGAACAGTATTTCCACGGCATAGGAAACTTCTCAAGATTTTGCCCCACCTGTTACTTACAGTTCTCCATTGCTAGCCATCAATAATACTGTATCACTTTCTGCTCTGAAGAGCTCACTATTTTCTCATCAAGGCTAAAAGCAGTGGCTGAAAAGAACCTTGCTTTTGGCTACAGCTTCAGCTTATTCAATCATTAGTAAAAGCATAAAATAAAACCACTCATTGCTAAGCACAGTTATTCTTCATGGTCGACCCATTTCTCTTGAGCAGGCAATTAAGAAAGAGATAAGCCAAATAACTGTCATACAAACATTTTAGCATCACCATATGATACTCAACAAAAATCATTAAAAAGGTAAAAAAAAAATCCTTAATTTAACAAYTTAGACTGTTATTAAAACTGAGAATCCTTGTTAATGCATTATGCCACCTCATTGATGACAACTAACCAGTTAGCCTCAAGACTAACTATATACCCTAGACAGCATGCACAAATACTGGTTTTTAAGATTACATGGGACAAAAAGTCTTTACTGTTAGGGAACCTTTTCCTACACATTCTGCACTGTTACCCTAGTACGATGCATAGCTCTAGTTTGTATATGAAGTTACAAGCTGGACTTGTTTCTTCAGTGCCCTTTTAAAGGAAACAGATATATGGAACATTATCACTCTCTATGCAGGCAAGATTCCCTCCACCTCCCTGAGGTCTATATTCTGTTTAGGGGCTGCCACAGAGGAGTGGGCATTACAATTGCTGCACTCTATCACCAGCATAAAGCACCAAATCTGTAACTGCAACTACACCCTTTCCCTGGACAGCTTCCCTTGAGCCCTTATGCACTATATTAGCAGGCAACTTTGGATGGGTCCATATCCTATCCAGGCCAAGATGAATTCATAATTCCATGCCACTGTTTTCTATCCAAAGTCTTCACTTGTAGAGCATGGGGCATATATATGTTACGCCACAAACATATAGGCTGTTGTCTTTAACAATTATTGTAGAAATTTCTCCTCCCCTCCAAACAAATACAACAAAACCAGGAAGAATCAGCAGTGAAAGCAGTACTGAATTTGCAAAAAGTGGAACACAATGCATGGTCTAACAGCTGAAAAAACAAAACAAAAGCAAACAAAAATACCACTTACAGTTTGTTACTACCAATGTAAACAGCAATAGGAAACACGTAGGCTGTACAAACTACTTTTACGAGCACGGTTGCAGCTTACTATGAAGAACGAATCAACTTATTTCTACAGTCATCGACTATACACAGGCTCACGCTAGCACGGAACGGCCGATGCAGAAGTTACAGCACATAACTTTATGGCTGTTTACATAACGGAAGCGCTACTAGCTTTTTCTGTCAGCCCAAGGAGCCGCCCCCTTGCCCCAACGCCCTGAGAGGGGGCTGCGGGCTGCCAGCAGCTCCCTGACATCCCGCTCGCGCACCTCTGGCTTCCCAGCCCGGCGGCGCCGCCAGCTGCGGCTCGGCGCTCTCCAGCGGAGGAGCCGGAGACTGCCGGGCAGCAAGGCCGGCACCGCGGCCCTGCGCCGCCCACGCCACACACGCCGGGAGCCGCCGGCGGGCGGGTGACAGCGGCGCCCCCGCCGCGCAGCCTCCCCCACTAGCCCCTCCAACGGTCCTAACGGCCCCGACGGCACCTTGAGCACGGGCGTGAGGTACTCGGCCACCTCCAGGGCTTTCCCCTTCACCGTGTTGATGACGTTCTGCATCGCGGCGCCGCTGCTGTCGCCGCTGCCGCCGCCGCCGC